GTATGTATGTGTGCATGCATATTAATTATTTGTATATTTGTGTATATTTGTGTTTGCATATATTATGTATGCTTCTGAGAATGTGTATGCGTGATTAGGTGTTTTTGGTCAGTCTTCGGGTATTCACTATTCACGAGTGTGATATGATGATTGTTGACGTGTCGATTGTTGACGAATAAAGTTGCTCTTACTGAAAAAAGCAACAATAACAATACACTACTACTACTACTACTACTACTACTACTAGTAGTACGACTTCTGTTGATGCTATTGATGCTACTACACTTGCCACTGCTACTATCACTGCGGTTAAAAGTATAAATAAAATAATGAAACAAATGTCTCCTTGCAATTACTTACTCATGTACATTTCTTCGATTAAAGACAATATTTTAACATCTATTAGGATCTTATGAAAATTATAAATAATGAGTACAACGATGAAGACGATGATGATTTGTGATGGTAAAGATGACGACGACGACGAAGTTTGTAAGAGTGACGTCAGCAAAGATGATAATTTACACGTCAGTTCAATTTGTGTCGCAACGGAATCTTAATTATATTCATAGAATGAGTGGAGATAATTTTAGATGCACACACACACACACACACACACACACACACACACACACACGCACACACACACACACACACAAACACGCACACACACACACACACACACACGCACACACACACACGCACGCACGCACAGACACACACACGCACACACACACACACACACACACACATGTATAACACACTCATCTTTTATAAGTACATTAATTTGCCTATTTATTTATAATGTAACTTGAAATGAATGAAACCACAATGTATAATTATTTTTTAAAAAATTTTAAACTCCAAATAGTTTCACTATGGAAAATAGTGATTTTAAAATTAATAGCAATAAAAAGTAATGAAGATTGGCAGAGCAGATTTTGTGAACGTTGAAATAAACGAATAATGGAAAGAAAATTAAAGTTTTCTGACGGGTGTCATCGGATGAACTGCAATGCTTCTACTACAGCAGTTGAAACATTACAAACATCATCAATAACAACAACAACAGCAACGACGACAACAACAATAACAATGACAACAACAACAACAACAACAACGACAGCAACGACAGCAACGACAACAACAACAGCAACGAAAGCAACAATATCAGCAAATTCATCGTCCTCAACAACAACACCATCAACAACAACAACAACAACATCATCTACAACATCAACAACACCATCATCAACAACAAAAATAACACCATCATCAACAACAACAACAACATCATCATCAACAACAACAACAACAACATCATCATCATCATCTACAACATTAATAACAACAACATCAACAACAACAACGACAACTACAACAATAACCGCATCTACAGCACAATCAATAACTTCAGCATCAACATCGGCAGCAACAAGTATCATTGGCCGTCGTTGGAAACAGACAAAAAGAACAAACGCTTGATTAACGCTAATTAAATCGAGGTAAACCCCATAGCGTAGAAACAAACATACAAAAAACACCAAATAATGCAAAAAACGCAATAACAACATAAAAATACAGAAAAATAAACAATGTTTGTATACATAAATAATGCAAAATAGAAACAAACACTGCGTAATGAATGCGCAAACAAAAATAAAAAAAAATATGTATGGATAAAATAGCGAGGAAGAAATTTCTGGTCAGATAGATGGATGGTAAATACGTGTGTGCAACCAATCTTATGCTCATCTGCATATTTTTGCATCACTCCATGTATTAAAAATTTTTGCCAGGAAATTATTTTCGCCAAAAATATAAATGTTAAAATTAAACAATTTATAAAACATTTTTCGTACCTTTTTTTTATAAAATTTAAATTTTTTTAGAAAAAAATGCGTGTGTGCGCATTTAATAACAGCAATTGCATCGTTTTGTTTGTTTTTTTGTTTGTTGGTTGGTTTGTTGGTTGGTCAAGAGGACACGCCATGCTTACAAAACGTTCCATCGAGTTTAATGGCTGCGGGATAAGATGTCTTTTGTTGCTCTGAAGATACAAAGAAGGAATTTGTACTAATGCATGCACTTACTTTGCAATTCTACGCTTTCTTAAGTAGGTTTATTAATTTAATTGCATCTTTTCTTCTCCTATATAGGCAAGCAGGTCATTAACGTTCAGGTCCATCCCGCCCATCTCCTCATCTGCATGCACGCTTCCTCCAAAGGCTCTCTTTTATTAACTCTCTGTTTTTATTCTTCTTTGAAGTATTTAACGTTTTAAAGTTTCGTCTGCCTGCATAGAGAATGTTTGAGTTGTGCTTTGTTTTCATTCTTTTCAGTTTTTTAATAGTTTTGGAGAAGTTTCAGTGGATTATGAAAAAGGAGTTTTGTTGAACTTAAAGCTGATGTATTACATACATTAATAATGATTTTGTACAATGTTTCTAGCTCGCTCCTCGGATTAGCTCACTCTCAATTCTTCTAGTCTGGCAACCGAAACAAAAAAGAAGAAAACTACAACAACAACAACAACGAACGACAACAGCATCAACAACAACAACAGCAACAATAACAACAGTAGCAATGTTATAGACAACAGAAGTAACACGCTGACAAATGAAAATAAAATTAATTTCAATGATAAAAAGACCAAAAACAAATGACGTAAAATAAGAACAATAATAATAACAACAACATTAATAAAAACAACGAGAGTAAGAAGAATAATGAAAATAACAAAGACAGGAAAACTAACGCAGACGCGAACAAACACATTCAGAAGCACAAACGAGCATCATTTCCAAGTCATAACGTTCCGCGAGTTAGCGCCGCAGCTTACGAAATAAAAACAAAAGCAAAAAAAATAAGAAAAAGAATAGAAATATATATAACCAACAAAGTGGAGTAATAATAATAATAATAAACAAAAAAAATAAAATGAAAAAAGTGAAAAAGAAAAATATGGTGACATCCCTTCGGTGGCTCGTCACGACCACCACTCACTAACCATCCGCATAAAAATTCTTCAAAAGTCACATAAAAACGCCGCTAAAATAACACACAGAAACGTTTTACTACCGCGATAATGATAATTTTATGCTACAAACATACATTAAAAGACTTGGATGGGAGCATATGTGCGTGCGTGTGTGTGTGTGCGTGCACGTGTGTGTGTGTGCGGGCATGTACGTGCCTGTGTGTATGTGTTTGTGCATGCATGTATGTGTGCGTGTTTGTGTGTATGTTTACATTGTTAACTTTTTCGCTTATATTTGCAAATTTTTGAGCGGAAAGCAGACAAGATTCTTAAGCTTTGGATTATAATATTAAAAAAGTTGATAATAATCAATGGTTTAAAAAATATATAGGAGGCTAGAGAATGTCCTGATACTGCTTTAATTAGTTAATGCAATTAGAGCTTCCTCAAGGAGGTGACACAACTGTGATTTGTTGCGATTTGTGATTGATTGCATTTTTAGATTTCTAGCTCAGTTCAAAACTAGCAAAAATATCAACATCATGCGAGAGCATTTGATGCTCGTCCAACAAGTGTGGATGTGTGTGTATGTGTGTGTGAGCTCTTTAGGTGCTGTTTATCTAGGTGGACTTGTACATTTATACGGAGATAAAAATGAAAGTATATAATAATGTGCCGGCACGTACATTTGCACGCACTTGTACGCAATAAAGGAATGCGTGTTGTACGCGTTTAAATTTCCATAAAAAATTTTGTGGTTACAAGCGACCCAATGCCACATAACCACTGTGCCTCATGTGCTAGCGTAATTTTTTTAAAAACATTCGAGTAATTTTTTACTTCAAACGAACTAACAAAAACAAACATACAAAGACAAAGCAAATATTAGAATCAAACTGAAAAAGCAGTTAAAGATGCTTGTAAAAAATACGAGCAACCAAACGTACATATAAAGGATATATACATACAAAACCAAACTCGCAAGAAGCAGGTCCATTGTAGACTATATTTCTACAAAAAAAGTCAGACTGCAAGTCTTTAAAATATTGTCACTAGTACGTTCGCGGACACGAGACACATGTGCAAATTCATTCATACATATAAGCTTAAATGGTTGGCGAGCTAGCTGAGTCGGTAAAAGTGCCATGTCTCTTGCAGTTACGAGTTGGCCTGGTTCAAATACGGTCGGTCGAAATCCACAGACTATCATAAGCCATGTGTATGTTCGTCATGTGGTGTTGATAGTACAGTCTTTGTGGCGGAAAAGTTCATACACAGGAATGATATATGAGCGGTTCTGGGTAATGAAAAAAAAGTACATACTGAAAAATGTTCAAGACATCTTTCATACATACATACACATACAAACGTAAGCAACAACAAACATACAAACTTAACAAAACGTACACACATACATACACACACACACACACAAGCAGCTGCCTAGATACACATTCACACAGATATATACAAAACATAAATGTATATGCAAATGTTTACATACATTAGCAAAACAAACAAAAACAGAAACATAAATGGGCGCATACACACAGACAAACCGGAGCAAAATCAAACATATCCAAGCTTTAATATTTTGCAAGCGACAAGGTTAAAATGTCAGCAATACACGATAAATATTTACACACGCACATGCATACAAATTAACCTAGCATTATATGTATTTGAATGTATATATACATTGTATAAGAATTTAAACATTATCATAAAAATATTTCATTTAAATAAATACATAAACATAAAATTTTTATTTTTTATTTAAAGCAAAACTAAAGGCAATAGCAAGAGAAAATGTGATGCGACATGCTAGTGCATGAAGACGTGTTAAAACTACACAAATACATACAATTGACAGATGCAAACACCGTATGAAACGTTCATACAAATACAAATACAGATACAAATACGAATGCTCAGGCAAATGAAAGTGAAAGTGAGGAGGTAAACATGCAAAAAAACATGTTTACAAACTCATACAAAAGCTTACAAACAAACTTACAATCTAAGTGCAAACAGGCATACAAACATACAAACGTAGTACACACAGACATACATACGAAACGAAACGAAATTTTATTTGCTCCATAAATACATACATACATACATACATACATACATACATACATACATACATACATACATACATACATACATACATACATACATACATACATACATACATACATACATACATACATACATACATACATACATACATACATACATACATACATACACACATACATACATACATACATACATACATACATACATACATACATACATACATACATACATACACACATACATACATACACAAAGTTATACAAATCCTACTTTTTATGTAATAATATATCGCCGAGAAAACACGAGATTGTTAGCAAGGCGTTAAGCTTTCTTTACGCCTTCGTAGCTAAGAGGTACTGAAGGATGAATGACTGAATGAATTAAATGAATGAAAGAATGAAAGAGTGAAAGAAAGCGAAAATGAAGAAATGAGTATAAAAATCATCGAGTGAGTAAGCAATTGAATAGACGTTTGAATGAATAGATGAATGAATGAATGAGTGAATGAAAGAATGAATGAATTAATGAATAAGTGAGTGAATGAATGAATGAAAAAATGAGTGAATGAAAGAACAAATAAAGGAATGAATAAATGAATGAATGAACAAGTGTAGGAAGTTTGGAAGATAAATAAAAGTATTAATTAAAAGGTAAAATCAACAATGCAAATAGATGTGTAAAACTGAACATATAGATAGATTATCAGACAGCCAAACAAAAATATAAAAAAGTAATCAAATGTTAAATTATATAGTCGGGTTATTAAATCAAACAAACATAAAAAAATTAGTTGCTATGTGAAATAAAATCCAAAGAAAAATTATCTTTCTAAAAACAAACTTTAATAAAGAACATAACAGAATTTTATATAAAATGGTAAGCAACCCAACAACCATCATCGCTGGAAAATAAACAGACCCAAGATAAAAAAATTTCTCCAAAGATAAACAGACAACACCGGGATATTTTCTTTGGATGTATAAGCGGCCCATCTCTTCCTGGTGGCACCAGCCGATAATAGCTCTGCGCACGCGCCGCGCGGGTCATTGGAGAATTCAACCATTTATCGCTCAATGATTTTGCGCCATGACTGTCTATTGAGTTTCGTTTTGTTTATATGCATGCATGCATCTGCTGCATGCATGCATGTCTACGCTGATGTTGGTGGCGTTTGTGCTGGGTGTGTGCATCGTCGTGGGAAAATGTATGGAAAGTTACAAATTAGTGGTAGTAGTATTAGAAAAGGAAAGGTTAGCAATAAGAAAAGTAGTAGTAGTAGTAGAGGTAATAGTAGCAGCAGCAGCATTGCAAAAGCATTAGCGGTAGTCTCTGCAGTGGCAGTAGATTATGTAATGATGGTGGTAGTAGTAGTAGCAGTAAGTATTAGTATTAGTTGTTGCTGTTGTGAAAGTATGAAGATTTTGTAATAAATGAAGAAAAATGATGAGAAATATAATAAATAATACACATAATATGTACACATATTGGTAATAAATTCAGAATATACGCGTTCCAGCCAGAGTAATATATGATGGAACGTCATTGAAATTAGCTCGCAATAATCCCTAACTCAATTCCATGCATGGAAAGCCAAAAGCGTATTGAGTAAAAGGAAAAGGAAAAATCTTTTTTTTGCGTCCGTGGTGAAAAAGAGAAAAATATGTTTGTGGGCTAGGAAAATGATGACGATGACGAAGAAGATGGTGGTGATAGCAATAATGGTGATAGTAATGGTAATGATGTTGATGATGATTGTTGCGATAATGATGATGATGATTTTAGTGAAGTTGAAAATAATGGTAATGATGATAATGACGTTGACATTTGACAGCATGGAAATGGAAAAGAGAAGAAATTGACTTCATCCTAAGACGCGGTAGATGCATTACGAACTAATAAGTAATTATGACAGTTGGTATAATTTGTAGGGCTATCACTGTTTTGTCTGAGGCACAAATGAGTACAAAATATTAATTTCACCTGGCAACTGCGTATTTATGAGTAGCCACATCACCAACATCATCTCTGCCGTTCGTCATCATCTTCATCAACATGTTTTTGTAATCACTTTTAACACGGCAAACACCATTATCCTCCTCAGAGCAAGAATCATATAAATTATTATCATTATCGCAACTTTCATCATCATCACTAACACCGTTATCATCACCAACGTCTTTATCATTACCATCATCGTCATCATCATCACCACAGACATCATCATTATCATCATCGCCCTGTCGTCATCTTCTTGATAAGCATGTGACGTAACGTAATGAAATCAACATACACAGCGCTCCTTAAGAACCAGACTCACAACAACATCACTCACTCACTCACTCACTTTTGCTCTTTCTCTTTTATTTTTTTTCTGTATTTTCTCATTTTTTCTATTTTTATTTCTATAGCGCTTCATTTCTTAACAGTTTTTCAGTACATCTTTTTTATATTTTTATATTCTTTTCTCCATTTTGATTTTCGTTCTCAAATTTTGTCATATTTTATTACAACACAAAATTTTTCTTCGCAGTCGCATTCATGTTCCTATCTTCAATGCGTTCCAGAAGCTTCCATGATATTTTTTCGGTTTTATTTTATTTTTTTTTTTTTCTTTTTCCCTCTTTCGTTCACGTTTTCATAAGCATCAATTTCCAACGTAATTAAATGCCTTGAGTGGAATAAGAAATATGTGAAATGACTTGATAGATTGAGCGAATAAAGAATGAATGAATGAATGAATGAAAGAATGAATGAATGAATGAATGAATGAATGAATGAATGTATGAATGAATGAATGTATGAATGAATGAACAAATGAATGAATGAATGAATGAATGAATGAAGAAAATTGGTAATTAATGAAAGAATAAATGAAAGATGGATTTAACGAATTAATAATGAACAAACAAACGGATGAATGAAGGAGCGAATGAGGGCAGTAAAAGAAAGAAAGTAGAAGTAAAAACGAGCAAACGAGTGCGTGATTGATTGATAACATGTACCAATCAATCAATCAATCACTTTATCGTTCAATCAATCTATCGGAGGATAGATAAATCGCTTAGGAAATGAATGACTGAATGGAAAAATAAAAGAATGAAGGTAAGTGAAATTTTGACAGAGTTTTTTTTTATAAAACTATTTTTTTCAATCAGTGCAAAAAAATTATTTAATTAAAAAATTGTAGTAGTCATGAAATACTACACATAATAAAAATGCAAAAAATTAAAGCAAAAAATCGACCAAACCTTTGTGGAATCATAATAACTCTATTCATCTGTTCATCTATACTATTCATTCTAACTCATTATCTATCTGTCTATTCGTTCGTTCGTTTGTTGGTTTGTTGGATCGTTCGTTCGTCGTTCATTCATTCATTCATTCGTTCGTTTGTTCGTTTGTTCATTCATTTATTCGTTTGTTCGTTCGTTCGTTCGTTCATTCATTCAATCATGGGTACTCTCTTTCTCTCTCTCTCTCTCTTTCTCTCTCTCTTTCTCTCTCTCTTTCTCTCTCTCTTTCTCTCTCTCTTTTTCTCTCTCTTTCTCTTTTTCTTTCTCGCTCTCTCTCTCTCTCTCGATGGCATTTATAACGAAAGCAGAATATGGAGTGCATCGTGACTTGCACGCCACATGCGGCGACCTCCAAGCATAAAATTTCGCGAAGAAGAAATATGAACAAAATCACGCACACGTACACACGCACGCACACACACGCAAACAAAGTTTTTGATAAAAACAATACACCCTAAGACCACACATAAACACACACACACATAAAAACACACGTGAACATTATTGCAGCCATCATACGCAAATTTAAATACATGCACGCAAACAAATAGTTGAACATATTGATCAACACACATACGCACACACAAACACACACACAAACACACACACACACACAAATAAAACTGTGACACAAACAGACATACATTCGTACATTTGCATAAATGTAAGTGTTACGTTGTTAGTGCGTCATCTTCGTCATACACTGCCTGTATTGTATGAATGAAACATATAAACAGATAAATAAACAAAAGTATGTATATATATATAAACTCATTTGAAATTATTTAAATAATTATTTTTTTCTTAAAAAGAACATTTTCAAAATTTTTTCCCATAAAATATTATGAGTAATGACCATCTGTGACAACCTGTTTCATGGGCATCATAATAAATGAGTATCTTTTTGTATTCAAACCCAGTTTCTGCACATGAAGGGCGAACGCCTTACCCACTACACCACTGCACATAAACAAATACCTCAGTTATGTTATATAAACGTATAGTACATTCAATCGAAGCCTTTGTACTTACGCGCTTGTTTAAGCATTCAAAACACTCATAATTAGAGAAAAAAATATCTATTCAAACACACACGTACATACACACAAACTCACATACACGCAGGCACACACAGACACACTTGTGGACTCACATTTGTCTACAAAAAAAACTCTTAAAAAAGATGTTGAAATGAATGAATGATTGAAGAAGAAAGTGAATGTGGCTCGTTACAAAAAACTTCTCCAGTTTTTTCCATGCAGTCTTTTCAAGATGCCATTTCATAAGCAACACTTGCACTCTTACGCATACACACACACACTTACACACACACACACACGCATACACGTACACACACACACACAAACACACAAGATTTCAAATGTTTGCTTGAGTAAGTACCGTTGTACCAGTATCGCATTATGCGTGAATGCAGACGCTGATGCGTGAAAGCGTATTAACTTTAATACAAAGTGTACTTGGAAAATGTCGGCCCGCGAATCAAAAGTTATAAACGAAATGAATGGGTGTCTTTAAAATGTGTGAATACAGTTTGATGTTATATGAATAATCATTTTTAAATGGCCGTAACGCAATTGGATTATTAGAAATTGTCGTTAGTACAAATTAATATTGCTATTAACTGTGGTATACGTATATACATTTGAAACCAGCCGCAAGATACTCATACAAACAAACAAAAGCACAGATAATCACACAAGCAAACACGTACTTTAAATAATATTCAAATAAAAATTCAATTTTATTTTATTTTTCTGTTAAAACTAATTAAAATCTATTTAAATTTTATAATGTGTATGTACTATATAGTGTATGTTAAAGACATGGTTTGAATTGAAAATGACTAGATGCATGTAGACCAATATATGCTCTATACTATTTTTGTATGTTTGCATATATGTATGTATGTTTGCATTTAAGTATGTGTACAGTACACGTGTGTATTACGTATG